CCAAGAAGCCTCTTTAAGATGGAGCATTTGTTCATTTAACAATAAGAAGCACAGAGATCTCAAACCATGCTAGGAAGTTCCAACTACATTTGGACTCTAGTTCCCTCTTGACAAGTGGAAGTCTAATTTGTAGACGCTGGTAGCTCAACCTGAGACTAACCTAGGAGTGTGCTCTTCCTGAGGTCCACAAAGTCCGGAGCCAAGGGAGTCAGACAAAACTAGGTTAAGGTTGAGTTGGTAGTTGAGAACCAGCAGATACTCCCCAGTACTGACTGAAGAGCTGAAAATTAGGTATGAGGCTGGAAGACAGAAGATGAAGCTGAGCACAATTTCTGAGACACTGAATGATATAGTCCAGAACCTTAACAGGTACCTGTCACCTCCCTAGTGGGGCAGGCAGAAGGGTTTGTGAGTGGAGATCCTGTTCAGGTTGTCTGAAATTAGCCTCTAGTTACCTAGAGGGATGGGTTCCCCTTTAGGGCCCAGCATTTAAATTGTCCATACTCAGAAAATAAATACAATTAATCCTCATAAATATAGATTTGCAGACAGATTTCTCACTTAGGAAGACTGATCATTTTCACATTTCATTGCACTATTACAAAAACTAGTTTCATTCTTTCTTGGATTCATCTTTGATACTTCCCACCCCCTCCTCCTTTCATGGCCCAAGAAGTGATGCCTAATCAATGTCCTAGAAATCCCTCCTCTCCATTTCCCTTGACTCTGCCTCATTTCAGCTTCCCTCATCTCTCACCCATGCTGTGTCCCCCTAACACCTCACTACATGCGATGGCAACCTCCTACAATATCTTCCATGATGCAGTCAAAGGAATCTTTGTAAAATACAAATATGATTATGTTTCTCATCAGCTTAAAATATTTTAGTGATTTCCCATTGTCCACAGGGAATGAAGAAACTCCCCCTAGAGTTGACATGGCCCTTCATGATCTGCTCCTGTAGACACAACAGAGGCTTTTCTGTGGTGCCTCATTCCAATTGTCTGTGCCACTGAAGGCCTGAAATGGTCACAGTTATCCAACATCATGGTGCCATCATAGCCCTCTCTGCACTTGCATGCACTATTTTTCCAACCTGGAACACTTGTGTTTATAATGAAACTCTCAGTTACCAAATTATGTCCTTAATAAACAACTTTGAAACAACTAGGCAGTGGGAATAAGGTAAAAGTATTTATCATATTTTAACTTGTTGAGCTGGTCAAGGAGAAAAAGGAGTGGATGAATGAAGTTGGGCCCAAAGTCTGGAGCTAGATCTGAACAACAAGGAGTAATTGGTTCACAACTGGGAAGTGATATTGGCATTTTCCAATTGTAAGAGCAGGAAAGTTTGGGCAGAGTTCAAATGTGAGTCTTTAGCAACTACAGAGAGGGCTTTTCAGAATCATGGAGAAAAGATGTGGGTGAATCCTGCATCAAGACTACTGAGGAGATGTTCTTGGGAACAGTTACTTTTAGGATTCCACACTGAAATCACCTGGAGAGCTTTATAAATTATTGCTGCCCAATTCCATTTCCTAAGATTTAATTGGGGATTTTTTGCAGTAGAATTACCAAACTGGAAAGTTCTGGGAAAGCTTTCTTCAGTGAGATTCATCCCGGGTATGCAAAGATGGTTGAATGTGCATGAATCAATACATGCAATACAGCTCATTAACAGAACCAAAAACAAAAACTATATGATCATTTCAATAGATGCTAAAAAAGTACTTCATATAATTCTACATCCCTTTATGATAGAAGCCCTCAACAAACTGAGTATAGAACAAATATACCTCAGAATAATAAAGGCTATAGATGACAAATCCACAATTAATATCATACTGAATGGGGAAAAATTGAAAACATTTCAATAAGATCTGCAACAAGACAAGGATGCCTAATTTCACCCACTTTATTTAATACCTTACTGGAAGTCCTGGCCAGAGCAATTAGGCAAGAGAAAGAAGTATAAAGCCAGCCAAACTGAAAAGGAAAAACTCAAATTAGCTTTGTTTGCACATGACATAATCTTAGAAAAACCTAAAGACTTCGCCAAATATCTGTTAAAACTGATCAATGAAGCAGTGAAGCTGGAGGATACAAAATTGGCTTACAAAAATCAGTAAGATTTTTATACAACAACAGTGAAAAATCAGAAAAAGAAACCAAGAATGAAATACCACTTACAATAGCTACAAAAAATATAAAATATGAAACACCTGATAATCAATTTAACCAAAGATGTAAAAGATTTCTACAAGATAAACTATAAAACATTCATGAAAAAAATTGAAGAGGACTCAGAAAAACTAGAAAGATATTCATACTCTTCAACATCATGGATTGGAAGAATTAATGTTGTTAAAATTACCACCCAAAAGCAATTTACTGATTCAGTGCAATCCCTATCAAAATACCAATGTTATTCTTCATAGAAATAGAAAAAACAATCCCACAATTTGTGGGGAACCACAGAAGACCCCAAATAGCCAAAGCAATCCTGAGCAAAGAAAACAAAGCTGGAGGCATCAAACTACCTGATTTCAAAATATACTACAAAGCTATACTAAGCAAATCAGTATAGTCCAGCATAAAAACACATAGACCAATTGAGCACAGTAGAGAACCCAGATATAAAGACACACATTTGCAGCAAACTCATTTTTGACAAAGATGCCAGGAACATAAAATGGGGAAAATACAGTCTTCAATGAATGGTGCTCTGAAAACTGGATAACCATTGTCAGAAGAATGAAACTAGACTCCTATCTCTCAATATATACAACAAACAAATCAAAATGAATGAAAGACTTTAATCTATGACCTGACACTATGAAACTACTAGAAGAAAACACTGAGGAAATGCTCCAGGTCATTGGTCTAGGCAAAGTATTTTTTTTTTTTTTTTTATGTGCAAGGGCTCAAAAGCACAGAAAACCAAAACAAAAATAGACAATTGGGATTACAACAAGCTAAAAAGCTTCTGCATAGCAAAATAAACAATCAACAAAAGGAAGAGATAACGCACAGAGTGGGAGAACATTTTTCCAAACTATCCATCTGACAAGGGATTAATAAGCAGAATATATAAGGATCTCAAACAAGTTAACAGCAAAAAAAAAAAAAAAAAAAAAATTGATTTAAAAAATGGGCAAAAGATCTGAACAGATGTCTCAGAAGAAGACATACAAATAGCCAATGGGCATATGAAAAAGTGTTCAACATCACTAATCATCAGAGAAATGCAGATTAAAACCACAATGAGCTATCATCTCATTCCAGTTAAAATGGCTTGTATGAAAATGATGAGGGGCCAGGCGTGGTGGCCCACACCTGTAATTCAGCACTTTGGGAGGCTGAGGTGGGTGGATCACCTGAGGTCAGGAGTTAAATACCAGCCTGACCAACATGGTGAAACCCTGTCTCTAACAGACATACAAAATTAGCCAGGCATGGTGGCACATGCCTGTAATCCCAGCTACTTGGGAGGCTGAGGCAGGAGAATCACTTGAACCTAGGAGGTGGAGGTTGCAGTGAGCTGAGATCACACCACTGCACTCCAACCTGAGCAACAAGAGCAAAACTGTCAAAAAAAGAAAAAAAAAAAGAAGAAGAAAGAAAGAAAACAAAAAGGAATAATAAAATAATGAAATGCTGGTGAGAATGTAGAGAAATGGAAACCCTCTTAGTGGGAATGTCAATTAGTACAGCCGCTATAGAAAACTCTATGGAGGTTTTGCAAAATCCTAAAAATAGAGCTGTCATATTACCATCAATTCTACTGCTGGGTATAGATCTAAAAGAAAGGATATCACTGTATTGAGGAATATCTGCACTCCCTTGCTTCCATGTTTATTGCAGCGCTATTCACAATAGAGAAAATATGGAACCAACCTAAGCGCCCATCAGTGGATGAATGGATAAAGAAAATGTGATATATACACACAATGGAATATTATTCAGCATAGAAAAGAATGAAATAAGTTCTATCATTTGCAACAACATAGATGGAACTAGAGGTCATAAAGTTAAGTGTTAATAACCCAAGTACGGAAAGACGAATACTGCATGTTCTCGCTTATAGGTGGGAGCTAAAAAAGTGGATCTCATGAAGATAGGAAGTAGACTGAAGCTTTCCAGAGGTGAGGAAGGGTAGAGGGAACGGAGTGTTGAAGAGAGTTTGATTAATGGGTACAAATATACAATTTCATAGAAGCTAAGACCTAGGGTCTAACAGATCAGTAGAGTGAAAATAGTTTACAATTTCAAAATATTGTATTTTGTATATTTATTATAATTACATATACATATATTACATATATGTATTTACAATATATCTATTTTATATGTCAAAATAACTAGAAGAGAGTAATTTGAATGTTTCTGCATAAAGACAAATATTTAAGATGTTGGAAGCCCCAATAACACTGATTTCATATTTACAAATTATATGAATGTATTATGCACCCTAAAACGATGTCAGCTATTATCTATTAATAAAAATAAATAATAAATAAATAATAAAAATCTGGCCAGCCCTCTCCCCACCCCCAGTCACCTGAAATCTTTCTGTTCCCCATGACTGCTCCAAAATGGGAAATAAGGTTTCACACTAATTTCTATAACTTGTCAAATCCCCAAAGTCTAATTCTTATCTAATGCCCCAAAGTCAATGCCCCAAAGTCTAATTCTTATCACAAGACCTCTACATAGATGGTTCATTTAAAATTTCTGTAAGGCAATGTGCACCTTACATCTATCTATGTACCAGGAATTGGCATTCTTCTGGTCCCTGAAACTATGATTCACAGTTCACTACAAAGACACTTTCACTGGGGGTGGGGTGCGGGGTGGATTATCACTTCTTGATTGAAAGCTCCCGGAAAGTAGGGGCTTTTTTCTACACAGCGAGTGGCCGCTTCCTGCACACCAGGAAATCCCCTCCGCCTGCGGGACCCGCCCCGCCCTCCTGCCCACGTGCCTGCTGGGTGGTGCCTGCTCGAGTCCCGACTGCGCCCGCCTCCCCACTCACTAGGATCTGAGACGCCGCGCCGCCCAGACGCCTCTATTCCCGTCACTACCACCGGCCTCCCCTCGCTCCTGGGCAACGGTGCCCACAACGGCGGTACGTGTCTAGCTTTGGGAGCGGCTCCCACAAGCAGGCATCGGGTTATCCGCTCCCGCGCCCAGGAAACGGTAGGAGCCCGGGAAAGCTGAACCTGGCAAAGTTCCCTGAGCTCCGTCCCGGGGCTCCCCTCTTTCACTTGGTCTCGGGTCGGGGCCTCCCCGAGGGCAGGGGCGTGGCTGCGCCTGGCTGCGACCCCTGTGGATCCTGGTGTGGTCAGGGCGGGTGTCGGGGGAGATCGCGTGGAGCTGGGGGATGAGCCTCCAGGCTCAGCTCAGCTCAGCACGCAGGAGCTGGGAAGCGGGGGTGCGGACAATGACGCTCCGCGATCCTCTCTGGTGAAGTACTCTTTGGGGTGGGAGGGGGCTGTGATGCCTCAGAACACTAGGACCCTAGGATCCCAGGACCCTGGGAGCGCGCACCTCCAGGGTCCAGGAGATGGGCCACCTGTGGGATGGGAGCGTCTCAGAATGTTGGTGCCATAGCTCAGGGCCCCTTGGCCATAGATGGTGCCGCAGAGAGCAGTGCGTTGGGAATTTCTGAGGATACCGAAGACCCTCGAGAGAGAACTAGGGGTGGGTCCCAACGGCAGCCTGGACCCTGAGCCTACCCCAGCGCCTTTTCCAAGAATGAGCGCACGGGTTTCACAGCCCTCTCTGGCTCCCAGATTTGGCCAACACCACAGCACTTTTGAGTGTGCAGGCCTGCAAAGATCATCGTGAGGGACATTCCAGATCTTGTTTTTATTAAATTCACTGACGGGATAAAATATTTCAAAATTCATTGTCCTTAAGGTAAGATGGTGGGGGCCTTTTAATCATATTTTAATTTTGTTGTATCAGATCATATTGCCACTTAAGTTACTTCCTTTTCTCCTCCCACTACCCTTTAAAACCAAGTTTGGTGAGAATCAAGGACAAAAAACCAAACACCACATGTTCTCACTCATAGGTGGGAATTGAACAATGAGAACACTTGGACACAGGAAGGGGAAAATCACACACCGGGGCCTGTTGTGGAGTGGGGGGAGGGGGAAGGGAGAGGGATAGCATTAGGAGATATACCTAATGTAAATGATGAGTTAATGGGTGCAGCACACCAACATGGCACATGTATACCTATGTAACAAACCTGCACGTTGTGCACATGTACCCTAGAACTTAAAGTATAATAATTAAAAAAAAACTAAGCTTGGAAAACAGAACTTATAGAAAACTAATATTCAGATGCTGTCAGGCATACTTAGATGCTAGGGGGAAACTGGGTCAGGTGAGGGCCCTCTTGCTTCTGGGGTCTAATTGTGTCTGATGACAGGAATGTGACCCAGAGCTGTCTCCTCCCTGTTGTGATTTATAAGACTGATGTGAAAAGTAACATACGTATTTGGTCCCAGCCAAACAATCAATAGTATCTAATAGTAGAATATAAATATTTTCAGATATGCAATAAATCAAAATTTATGTATTCTGTCTTAGAAAACTATTGTTCTAGCCAAACAAAGGAATAAACAATAAAGCAGAAAAGGCATTGGGGTTCAAAACAAAGGACATTGGCAAAGGGCTGTCTTAGATGAGACAGGGATGCTGCACACTAAAGAGAAGTGAGTTTAGAAAGGAATAGTCAGCAATGTGAGTGATCAATAGCAATGGATGCAACACATTGGAATTATGAAAGAGAAGGGTAGTACAATTACAGTCCAGCAGACAGCCTCTGAATGCAAGAATGTTTAGAAAAGAAAGGTATGTAATGTATTTAAATACTAATGTAATTTACATCATAATGTATTTAGAAACCAAAATGGAATATCTATCTCAGTTTTGTCACTGGTATGGCCCTAGAAAAGCTTTTATTTTATTTTTAAACTTTTAAGCATTGATTACGATTTGTAATCAATGCTTAAAAGTTTAAAAATATTTTATTTGCTGTGTTAGTAGTGTGCTTTAAAGTTTAAAGTAAAAGTTGATGTTTACCAAATTGACAAACAATAAGTTGGCCACTAACTAAAGTATAATAGTAGGGAAAGTTGTTCTCTGCTTATGAAAATTCTGCTTTGGGAATGAAAATCTTACAGATTAAAGAAACCTGCACACCAGCAGGATGAGAGACTGTGGGAGACGAGCAATGGGACTGAGATTATTCGTATGTGGTTGAGCATATGAAGAAATTACTGAAAAGGTTTGACTGATTGGTGGAACACTTGGGGGCAAATTTGCTATATATAAAAGAAAGCCAAAGAAGGTGAGGTGGAAGAAATATTAACATAAGGAAAAACAGAGTTATGTGAGAAGAGGAATGGATTAATTGTTCACTACTTGGCTTAGTTATGAATACTATTTAATTGCACTAAAGCAAACACTTGGATAGAGGAGGTGAAGTGCAGTGACTGAAGTAAGGGATGTAATTCCATAAATTAGGAAGGCAATAGATGATGTCTAAAATCATTAGGTCAAAAACAGTAGTATACACCTATTATAGCTAAACATAGAGGTAAATGCCAGGAGAAAGAGCAAGCTGACTTGTGATTGATTGCTTCTAGGAAGTTGGGAGGAATGGGAAGGTGCCTGTTGATTTGCATAATGTCTCTCCTAGAATTATTTGACTTTACAACTAAGTGCCAGTTCATTAATTTCATAAAGAGCAAATCTGACTAAATCACACTAAAAAGAATATACACACGTTGCAGAAAATGCAAAAATACAGGAGAACATAACTAACATCAAAATTACCCATTGCCCAGAAGTATTCGATATTCAGTATTTCTTTCCAGTCTATTTGTGAATTATACTTATATGTAACTTTATTTCTAATTTACACTTAACATTAATCTTCATTTATATTCAATCACAGATATGACAGAATCTAACTGGTTCTCTATTGTTGACCATTTAAAGATTATCTCTGTAGCATATGAAGTGCTTCACTAGTCATCTTTCTGCAAAACATGTTTTATCAGTACATGTGAGTTTTACTTTCAGTGAAATTCTTTGAAATGAATTTTTTTTATTCTGAATGTATAAATATTTTCTTGGCATTTTCTTCTTTCTATCCTTCCTCCTTCCCTCTCTTCCTTCCTTCCTTTTTAAAATATAATTCTAAATTACACTCTGAAAATATTTACATAATCAGTTGTAGAGTACAGGAAGGAATACTTATTTTACCAGTACTGGAAATTAATAGTTTTTGTACTTATGAATTTCATGTTTTAAAAAGATAGCTTTAACTTGCTTTCTGCTTTCTAAAAAAAAAAAAAAAAAAAAAAAAAAACAAAACAAAACAAAAAAAACACCTTGTACCATGGTGATTCAGAGATTAAGAGGAACCCTAGATCTACAGCGTTCCTCAGCAACCACAGACCTGGTTGCTAATCCTTGCTTTACTGTTTGTAGCTGGGTATCCTCAGAGGCGAGATACCGACATGGCGAAGACTCCATTTATTTGCTTGTAAAATGCAAATATTCGCTGGACCGACCCCATCAAGTTGTGCAGATTAAATGAAATTACTCATCAAAAGCCCCAGTTTAGTTTTTGTATGTGTACCTATTTGTTCACTGAGGAAAAGTGTCCACTCTATTAATAAATAAAGTGAAAATGCAATACATAGTAAGCCCGTATTGATGTAAAATTGTTTTTAAATCCATTGTTTCAGGCTCACTGTCATGGATACTCTATCAGAAGCAAATGGCACCTTTGCATTAAACCTTTTGAAAAAGCTAGGGGAAAACAACTCAAACAACATATTTTTTTCACCCATGAGCATGTCGTCAGCCTTGGCCATGGTTTTCATGGGAGCGAAGGGAAATACTGCAGCCCAGATGTCTCAGGTACCTAAAGCCACTTCAAGACAACAGTAAATGCTACTAATTTATCAGTAATGCTGGTCTTTCATGTTTCAAATCTCAAAGAGATTCCTCTTTTAACAGTTAACTCTGCTAGTGTCACAGGGATGTGGATGGAGAGTTGGCAGGATGGAGCATGTTACCACTGCCTGACCATCCTTGGTGACCTGAGGTCACTCCTGTGTGTGCTTCCACAGGCAGCTGGGCTAGGAGGTCCAAGAAGGTCTCACATATCTGGGCTTTGGTGCTGCTTGGTGGCTGGGGCCTGAGTACCCTACAAGCAAGTCTTTTCATTCCTCCAGAGCCCTTCCACATGGCCTTTCCTTAGGGAAGCTTGTGCATCCTTACATCATGGTAGCTGGGTTATAAGAGAGTCAACGTGGAAGCTGCCAGGCTTTTTAAGGTCTAGGCTTAGAACAGAGCTACATCTGCATTCTCTTGTTAAAAGTAAGTCACAGGGCCATCCCAGATCCTAACAAAGGGGAGGGAGATTCCATCTTTTGGGGTCAGGAGCACCATGTATATGCAGAGACAGAACACATGTTTGGCAGCTGTGTTTTTAGACAAAGTACCACAAACAGTGAGCGTTTAAGTAACCTGAATCATTTTGTTAGGGTTTGCAAAAGGCATATCTAGTCATACCAATATTTAGATAACATTGATTTTCCATAGGAAGTGATTATAGGGAAGCTTAAGAAGAGCTATAGGTAGGGAGAATGGGTGGATTTCAACACACTTTCTGTCTTTGATTAGTGTAATAGTGCATTCTCATACTGCTATAAAGCAATACCTGAGATTGGGTAATTTATAAAGGAAAGAGGTTTTTTTTGTTGTTTTTGTTTTTTTTTTGAGACGGAGTCTCGCTCTGTCGCCCAGGCTGGAGTGCAGTGGCTGGATCTCAGCTCACTGCAAGCTCCGCCTCCCGGATTCATGCCATTCTCCTACCTCAGCCTCCCGAGCAGCAGGGACTACAGGCGCCCGCCAACTCGCCCAGCTAGTTTTTTTGCGTTTTTTAGTAGAGACGGGGTTTCACGGTGTTAGCCAGGATGGTCTCCATCTCCTGACCTTGTGATCCGCCCGTCTCGGCCTCCCAAAGTGCTGGGATTACAGGCTTGAGCCACCGCGCCCGGCCTAGGAAAGAGTTTTAATTAACTCACAGTTCCACATTGCTGGGGAGGCCTCAGGAAACCTACAATCATGGCAGAAGGCAAAGGAGAAGGAAGCACCTTCTTCACAGGGTAGCAGGATGGAGTGGGTGCAAGCCGGGGAAATGCCCGACACTTATAAAACCATCAGCTCTTGAGAGACTCACTCACTATCATGAGAACAGCATGGAGGAAACTGCCCCATGACCAATTACCTCTACCTGGTCTCACCCTTAACATGTGAGGATTATGGGGATTATAATTCAAGATGAAATTTTGGGGAGAGACATAGCCAAATCATATAAATTAGATTAATCATCTTTTATGCTCTAGTAAGGATCTATAAATCTCTATACATCTCTTAATGTTGAATTTAGCATTGTGCCTATTTTTGAAGTCAGGGAATACTGAAAATTTTATTTGTTTTTTTAAATTTCAGGCACTCTCTTTTAGTAAAATTGGAGGTGAAGATGGAGATATTCACCAAGGTTTTCAGTCACTTCTTGCTGAAATTAACAGAACTGGTACTCAGTACTTGCTTAAAACTGCTAACAGGCTCTTTGGAGAAAAGTCTTATGACTTCCACACAGTAAGTTGTACTTTATGTTTTATCATGAAAATAAAGATAGCAATGTGATGGACAGTAGTAGAAAGAATGTGGGCTCTGAATTCATACAGGTGGGCCTGAATTCACAACTTCATTCCCTAACCTCACATGGCTCCTCTGATTGTTTTATTGTCTGTAAAATAAGTCTTATAGCAAATACTGACAAGACTTTCATGAAGCTTAAATGACTTAACCTTTATAAAAGAACTGACACAGAGCATAGCACAATTGGAGATGAATCAGCCAAAACAAAGAAACGATCAAAATGAGTATTTCTAGTAATCACTTTGCAGATGTTGTTAATTTTTTGTGCATCATGACACTTTTCTAGCTTTTTATGCATTTAAAAATTTTGATTGGATTTTTAGATACCGCAAATCTTTTAAAACATATTTTAGCTAACTACCTTGGCTCTGTTTGTTGACAAGCCTTTAATGACTTTTTTATTTTTTAAAAACAAAGGTACTCGGCTGGGCGCCGTGGCTCACGCCTGTAATCCCAGCACTTTGGGAAGCCAAGGCAGGTGGATCATGAAGTCAGGAGTTCAAGATCAACCTGGCCAAGATGGTGAAACCCCGTCTCTACTAAAAATACAAAAATTAACCGAGCGTGGTGGCGGGCGCCTGTAATCCCAGCTATTTGGGAGGCTGAGGCAAAAGAATCCCTTGAACCTTGGGGGTGGAGGTTGCAGTGAGCTGAGATGGCGCCACTGCACTCCGGCCTGGGTGATGGAGCAAGACTCCATTTCAAACAAACAAACAAACAAACAAAAACAAAGGTACTCAAGTAATTTCTTACACAAAACTGCAAGTAACGCATATAAATCAAGAACCCTCATTAACCTCTGACTCCAATACTCTTCTCAATGTCTGAGCTTTTATAAATTTGAAGTCTATTCTGCTTCACATACAGAAATTTTGCTTTGTGAGGTTCCTCCCTACGTTGTTATTATACTATACATATTGTTTTATACTTTGTTTCCTTTTACTTAACAATACGTCTTAAATTCTTTCCATCTCAGCATATGCGTATCTATGTCACTCTTTTTACCCATTTTCTAGTATTCCTAAGTAGGACTGTACCGTGATGGAGTAAACCTTTCCCTTATTGCTGAGTGTTTAGGTTGTATTTAATCTGGACCATTACAGACTCTAATATCCCTGTACAAGATTTTGTGCTCATGTGCATTCGTTACTGTCTAAAATGGATGTGCAGAAGGGAGGAAGGGAATGAAACTTTGAAGCTTTAATAAATATTACCAAATTGCTGTTACTGGTATTATAGCCACTTACATTCCCCAAAGGATATGTGTAAAGTGCTCATTTCCACCTCCTGTCAACAGCACTGCATATCATAACCCTACAAACCTTTGGAAGGGTGGGGCCAACCAAGATACCGGACTAGAAGCAGCTCCTGTGTACCGCTGTACACATGAGAAGGAATAGAAGGGGTAATGGACACTGACACTGCACACTGATCAACCATCTGAGAAATTACACTGGGTTCCATCAAGGTGGGAGGGGAGCATAGAGATCAGAGAGGAAGGAATCCAGGAACCAGACTGTCTGAGCTCAGCATGGAGCCAGGAGATTCTGTTCAACACAGGAAAGGGTGAGTGAGTGAGAGCTCCCAGGGGAATTCACGCTGTCCACCAGGACCTGTGCATGATTGAGAACAGGAGGATCCCCCTGACCCCTAATACCCCACCACTGCACTTCTAGACTGAGGCAGAGAGCCACCTGGACGTATTGTGGGGGCAACTCTCGAATCCAAGAAGACTGCTACAAGCCTTAGGCCCCGAAGCAGACCATCACTGGTGTCACATCCCCATTAGAAGCCACAGTTGCAGTGCCTGGGAGCAGTAAGTTTGCCCCGCCCCTTCTTACCAGACAGGGCTTGGTGCCAGCTTCTGCCCAGTGGTCCTGCTTTTGTGTGAACTGACTTGAAGAGTGCAGCCTCACGTTTTCCCAGGAAACACTCAGATGACAGGGTGCATGACCCCACCCACTCCCACCACTTATAGCCAGGAAGGCAATGCTTGGTAGAGCTTCTGGCCCAGCGGTCCCACTTCCATGTGAACTCAGCTGGAGGGTGCAGTTTTATCTTGTCCCCAGAAACACCTGGATGGCATGCTGTGTGACCCCAACTTCCCCCACCACAAGTAACCAGGTGGACAATGCCTGCTAGAGCTTCTGGCCCAACAGCCAGCCCAACTTCTGTGTGAACTTAGCTATTGGGCACAGGTTCCTATCGTCCCAGGAAACACCCAGATGGCAGAGCATGCAACCCCACCCACCCCTGCAACTGATAGCCAGGTGGGAAATGCTGGCTGTAGCTTCCAGCCCAGTGGTCACCCTTCTGTATGAACTCAGCTGGAGGTCACAGTCTTCTGTTGTTCCAGGAATAACCTGGAGAGCAGGGCATGTGACCTGCCTACCCTGGCCATTGGTAGTCAGACTGGCAACACCTGCTAGAGCTTCTGGCCCAGTGCTGCTGCTTCTGTATGAACTCAGCCAGTGGATGCAGCTTTTCTGTTGCCCCTGGAAGCACATGGTGGGCAGAGTGTGTGACTCCACTCGCCCCTACCACCGGTAGCCAGGCAGGTAATACCTACTAAAGCTTCCAGTCCAGTGGTCTTACTTCTGTGAGAACTCATCTTGCAGTGGCAGCTTTCTGTTGTCCCAGGAAGCACCCAGAAGGCAGAGCAGTCATTTCCACCCACCTCTGGTTGGTAGCCAGGCAAACCACACTTGCTATAGCTTCCAGCCCAACAGTCCTGCTTCTTCCTAAGTTTGTCGAGAGGCACAGACCCCTGTCACGCTGGAAACACCTGAATGGCAGGGGGGGCAAGTCCATCCACTCCTGCCTGTCATAGGCAGATGGGCCACACTCACTAGGTCTTCTAGCCCAGTGGTTCCACTTCCACTTGAACTCTGCTGGAAGGTGTAACTCTATGTTTCCCCAGGAAGCACAGGGGCAGCAGATTAGGACTGGCCTGGCAAGGATACAGCTTGTCTGCCAGCTGTGGGCCTTGACTGAAGGAGCCCTATGGACCAGAACACCCAACAAAAGAAACACAGGCATGGAGAAAGTAATCAGAAGGAGCACCCCCAAGACCCAGGAGTAGACTAGAATCAGAGTCCATCAACCAAAACGATCTTGTGCTGTAATCAAACCTCCAAGTTCATCAAAGAAGAAAATAGCAAAATAATCTATCCAAAGCACAGCAACCTCAAAGACCAAAGGAACATGAGCCCACACAAATGAGAAAGACCCAGCAGAAGAACTCTGGTAACTCAAAAAGCGTGTCTTCTTATCTCTAAACAGTCACACTAGTTCCTCAACAATGATTCTTAGCCAAGCCAAAACAGCTGAAGCATCAGAAACATAATTCAGAATATGGATAGGAACAAAGATCGTCAACATACAGGAGACAGTCAAAACCCAATCCAAGAAACCTAATGATTACAATAAAACAATACAAGAGCTCATAGACAAAGTGGCCATTATAAGAAAGAAACAAATTGAATTGATAGAGCTGAAAAACACTCTACAATAATTTCACAGTGAAATTGCAATATTACCAGCAGAATTGACCATGTGAGAAAACAGTCTCAGAGCTTGAAGACTGGCTTTCCAAAATAACTCATTCATATAAAAATAAAGAAAATAAATAGAGAAGAATCAACAAAACCTTCAAGAAATATAAGATTATGACTCATTGACGTCTTGAAAGAGAGAGAGAGAAACCAAGCAACTTGGCAAACATATTTCAGGATATCATTCATGAAAATGTCCCCAAACGCTAGAGAGGACAGCATTCAGATTTAGAAAAATGCAGAGAACCCCTGCGAAATACTACACAGGAAGACCATCCTCAAGACGCATAATCATAAGATTCTCCAAAGTCGAAATGAAAAAGAAAAAAACAGAAGGGGCAGGTCAACTACAAAGAGAATCTTATCAGGCTAACAGCAAACCTGTTAGCAGAAACATTGCAAGCCAGAAGAGATTGGGGTGGGGGGCAACATTTAGCTTTCTTAAAGAAAATAATTTTGAATAATTTTGAACCAATAATTTCATATCCAGCCAAGCTAAACTTCATAAGCAAAGGGGAAATAAGATCCTTTTCAGACAAGCAAGTGCTAAAGGAATTCATTACCACCAGACTTACCTTGCAAGAGGTCCTGAAGGGAGTACTAAATATGGAAAGGAAAGATCATTACCAGCTACTACAAAAATACATGTAAATACATAGATCAGTGACACCATAAAGCAGCCACACAACGAAGTCTGCATAATAACCAGCTAACAATATGATGACGGGATCAAATCTACTACTAACCTCAAATGTAAATGGTCTAAATGCCCCAATTAAAAGGCACAGAGTGGTGCATTGAATAAAGATGCCCAGCCCAACCGTATGCTATCTTCAAGAGACAAGTCTCACATGCAAATACACACATAGGCTCAAAGTAAAGGGACAGAGAAAAAAAATCTATGAAGCAAATGGAATACATAAAAAGGCAGAGATTTCTGTTCTATTTTCAGACAAAACAATCTTTAAACCAACAAAGATCAAAAAAGGCAAAGAAGTGTATTGCACATTGGTAAAAGACTCAATTCAATAAGAGGACCTAGGAAGAGGTCATACAATAATAATGGGAGAAAATAACACCTCACTGACAGTATTAGACAGATAATCATGGAAGAAAACTGACAAAGATATTCAGGACCTGAACTCAATAGTTGATCAATGGACCTAACAGTCATCTACAGACCTCTCCACCCCAAAACAATAGAATATACATTCTTCTCATCTGTACATGGCACATACTATAAAATTGACCACACAGTTAGGCATAAAACAATACCCAGCAAATTCTGAAAAATGAAATCATACCAACCACATTCTTGGATCACAGTACAATAAAAATAGAAATCGATGTGATGAAAATTGCCCAAAACCACACAATTACATA